GATAACAACTCAAAATAATTAAAAAATTACGGTTGCCAACCCGCTTACCAAACGCAGCAACTTTAGCGGAATCCCCACATGAGGCAATCTATTAGGGAGCCATATGGTCATAACTTTTACAGGCAGGAATATCCACTTTGTGGGCGAAAATCAACCCAAAATCGATTTAAATCAAGTGATGTTGTTCGCTCAGAATCGATGTTAGAGCAGTAGCCGTGGAGCCAATTAAAGGACAAAATTTCAACAGATTCCCCGCAAATTCCCCTCAATTTTATTTTAAGAAATGAAACAATTTTCAACAAATTTTATAAGATTTTTTAAATAATATTTTTTTCTTCAAAATTAAAAAATAAAGAAATATAAAACATTAACTAATACACAAAAGTTACCAAAATAAATCCGAAAATTAAATTTGGTGCAACGAAAATAATTAAAAAATATGATATTAATAAGTAACCTAACAAAGAAATTAAGATAAGTAGGTATTTAGATTTCTTGAAAAAAAGTTCTGACTTGGCTATCGATTTTCAAAATCTCCGCATTTTCCCCGCATAATACCAATCCCCAACGAACTTTAAATTCCCCGCAATTTGGGGAATTCCTCACATGTTGGCAACGCTGCTCGTAGGCAGCCGCGCAGCGCAAGTATATTTTCATGCTTAAAGCGCCTGTTCTTACTATAGGAATAGGTTTAAGTATCTATGTCCATAGATGTTGCACACACACAATGCATCTAGCACACATATACCACTATGTGGATTGTGCGATATGAGCTCATTAGACACCCGTAATTGTATAAAAAATATTATGTGTGGAGATGGAGAAAAGTTTGCACCATAATTTCAAACTTCACTAGATATGCTGGACTTCGGTATAATATTTGGAAACTCAATAGATGCAATTGTTTCAGGAACATACTTTCTGGCAATCTCCGTGGCAGTTATATGTTCAAATGCCGATCGTACAAAGTAAAGGTTAATAAAATAATAAGAGTAATTTAATCAATGCAATTTATTTATTACTTAAGACCTTTTCATAACATACAAACGCACCATATACTTAGCATAACAATCAAGTTTATTATGAGCATAATAGCTCCTCAATTAAAGGTAAAAAGAAATGTGTCTTAAGCAAACATTAAAAGTATTAATAATCTAGCAAGAAAATTCGGAAATTCACACATTAAAAAGTTAAATTCTTTTCTTAAAAAGCATGTGCAGAAGGACAATACAGATACAAAAGAGCGTGATATATTTTACTTTAACAATCTCTATTGAATTAACAAATCTAGCATTAGCTACTTTAAATTGAAATAAACTTTCATTTTATAAAAATTATACATTTTATAAAAATTATACATTTTATAAATTTAACAACTTAAATTTCTCTATGCAACGTTAAAAATTAATGACGTTAAAAAATTTATAAATTATAATAACGATGAACGTTGAATTCAAAATAACACTGAAGTTGACCGTCAGTAAGAATTCAACCGACAAAAATGCCAACGTCTCGCAAAATGTCACACTAATCTAAAACTACGCCCTCTACATGACTACTGATTTATGCTAATCACGTTTATTTACCTATTATTCATGTTGAACAACATTTTCATAATATTGATTAAGTATCACCTAAATGAGACACTTTCGGGTAGCGTAGGCAGTTATATTATGTGATTAAACGAATTATACTTTGACGAAGCTTATTATTTGATGGGTGAATAGATTTTGCTTGCTTTAAAGCGCTTGCCTCTTTTCTTATTTACTATTTTACTTACAATTTATTTTATCATAGATATAACCAATAAAAAATTGTTTTGAGAGATTAATGCCCAAATATTCAAACGCTACTCAATTTTAAATCTCGTGCTGTCTCTATCACTTTAAGTCAAAGTGAGTGTGACACCACGAGACTTAGCGACATTTTAAAATTGAGAATCGTCTGAGTATTTGGCCATAAGTCCTATACCAATAATTGGTTTTTTAATAAGTAGGTAAGTTATGATTTTCTTTTTCAGTTTCTAATCTACTGAACTAACAAACGGGTTTATAGTTTTGGCGGCTAAATGTTCAATTCTGCTCCAAATAATAATATTTATTTAATCTAATGCTTATTTTAAATGTTAATTTTTAAATTTTAATCCTGAATAAGTCATAAACCGTGTTTAGCTTACAACTAAATGGACAGGACAGCAATTAATTACAGATTACAGATGTAACTTATCTTATCAGAATAAAAACGTTAATTTTTATTCCACTTTTACTCTCGCGTCTTAAAATTAGCTTACCTTTAATGGACAGAATTGCGTGTAGCGTGTTTTTTTTTAATAGCGTGCTGCGTGTTACTGGGCTGACTTAATTTGTGATAAGTGCTGCAATGTTATATTATATTGCTATTATAAGAATAATATTTCAGTGCGTTTATATTACAATATTATTAATGAATAACGAAAAATTTGTCGTCGAATAAATTGGTAAATGTAGATAATATGATTAACTGTAGAGAGCAAACAATAACAATGCTACTTTAATTCATGGTGATAGCTAATGAGGATATTTTTTATGAGCGTGACAGAGCGTGTAAAGATAAAATGTAGATAGAGTCTAAGGTTGCCATTAAAAGTTTGGGTTATAATAAGTTAAAGATTTATTTTCTAAGATTAGGTTGTACGAGCTAGGAGATTAGCAGTTAGGATCTAAATAGAAACTACAGTGGGACGTGAGAATAAGGGTTTCAAGAATTATTTATACAATTTTCTAGAAGTCACTACTTGAAATCAAATTGCCACAAGAATTGTCTAGAAATATTTCCATTTCCTAACCTAATCTAGCCGAAAAGCTGACGAATTAAATTACGTAAAAGCAATGCTTTTGTAGACTTTTTTTTGTATTATTAGGGCTGTTGTCTTGATAATTTGTATTTTACAATAGTTTTGGCACAGAGAGTAGGAAAAGATATTTTTTATATTTTTTATGACTAAGAGTGCATATTTTAAAGCCTAAATCACAGAACGGAAGGAGCGGTGCAGGTGTAGTGATGCAAAAATATAGTTTTCAATTGAATTTACAATAAATACAATGATCGCGTAAAAAACTATTTTTGGTTATGGTTTATTAGCTGTGACACAACTTTATATTGCCTTAAATAGCTTTGCAATTACCTATAACATCTAAACTCCGTCTACACGTATATTGACATAGTTTATTAGCGAAAATCGGCACTTTCGCAATTACCATTATTTCGATATTAAATATTTTAAATACTTATCTCGATAACCCAAAGCTGACTAAAAACTTACAAAATATTTGAAAATGTCTCTTTCCAACATCACGTAACTTGTAGCGTAATTTTTCTCCTTACACAAAGAAAGATTAGTATTAAATATATTTGTAAATGCAAATAACTAAACGATAATGGTGTTATGAAAAAAAAAATAAAAAAAAACAAAAGTTTTAATACAACCATTTTAATAAAAATCAAAAAATATAATAATAACAAATTGATTTTGCACAAATTAAATACATAACTCTACCCGTCACCAAAAAAATAAAATAAAAAGAAAAAACCTGCAATTATATATTACGAAAATCCTTTAAAATATAACATGTCATATTGAAGTTATAATACTAACGGCAAAACAGAATAAAATATTTAAAATAAGGGTATTGCACATTGTTAAAATTTAAGTACAGAAATGGACGTTCGAAAAAGATTAGAGATCGAATAATATAATTACATATAAACGTTAAATCTTAAATTTCATAAGTGTATTTTAATCGATATTTTACCTATGGCACTAACATAAAACTAAAAAAAGAATTAAAATACATATAATTTCAAATTAATAATACTACCTATCGTATATAATTAAATGGAATGTTTCAAAAATTAAATGATTTATTACTTAAAAATCAAAAATAAGTACTTGTCCGCAAGTCTATTTTATGTTTTACAAAAATTGCACTATCCGATACACATTTTACTGTTATTTATACTCTTTCTCTGTTCTACCAAAATCGACCAATTTTGCGCAAGTCTATTTTATGTTTTACAAAAATTGCACTATCCGATACACATTTTACTGTTATTTATACTCTGTCTCTGTTCTACCAAAATCGACCAATTTTGCTCCGTTACTACATATTAAACGCGCGAAAATACCGTAAAATATTAAGTTGCTTATATAATCTTCTGAAAGAACAACAAATTGATCTTTCACAATTTTAAAATTTTATTCTTATTATCATGGTCCAGTAACGAGACTCGTATAATAATATAAATATAAAATGACTGCATGTGGTTATAGGCCTTGACGTATTAGAAGGCGTGAAATGTATTGTATTTTTGTTTTTACTTTGTTAACGAAATATAAAATTTTCATTGTACTGGTTAGAAAGCCTAGTAGTCATTGTATAGGATAAAAAAAATAAACTGCAGTAAATATAATTAAAATAATTAAAACATACAAAGCCCGTAAAACATATAAACGTGCATACATATTTTCTATGGATTGTAGTTTAATCCATATTAAATTTAATTACATAATTAAAGCTGCAATTTTTTATGACCTATGAATAATAAATTATATCTTAAAATTTAAGGAATGTCAAACATTAAAACAGTGCAACATTGGTCGATATAAACAGTAGCATTGCGGCGAACTAACATGTTCTACTGCTTGTAAACGCTATTTTGGAGTCTAATGCCGAGCTAAAATCTACTTAAAGACACCAATAGTTTAGAAACACCATGATTAATATTCATATTTGTAATTTATTATATAAAACAACACATTTTATTGATGCTTCTAAACCTATTAGTGCGCGCCGCAAGTGGGCAACATTGAAGAAATCTGTCAAAGTTACATAAACTATTTATGATATTTAGAAATTATTAGTAGTATTTTTAAACTAATTATATGCATTGTTGACAGATTTCACAAGTCGCCTTCGTATTTGTAGACATTTTCAGCAACTAGAACTAGAGTATGGTATAGATCAGTATCGCTGTTGATATTCGTGATGCCATCTATTGAAATCAATGTGGAATACAACTAGCGACCCGTTTTCAAGACCCGCCAGTAGGAATCTGAAAAATATAATTTTTTTATAAGTAGGTATTGCATTTTAGTTTTGATCATCCTGGTTGGTTATCACAATATTAATTATAAGAATAGAATAATATGTGGTAAGTTTAATTAAATTAGGAAGGATTTAACGGTAATTACTTTGTAGGGCGACTTATTATAATATGGTATAATATGATATATTCGATGGAGAGTTGATAAACGTATGATGGTGTTGACTGTGTAAGCACAGAGTAAAGAGTAAGGACCAGAGGGAAAGCTTCTTAACAACGTCGAAAATGTATACCTATTCTGATAGGGTTGTCACATAATGCACGTGAAAAATTTAAGGAAAAAATGGTGGTGGTGATGGAGCCACTGTTGGTCGACTGCTTACTACCACTACCTACGATACTACCACTTCCACCACTACTGACACCATCAGCTACACTATCCACTGACACCAGCACCACTTCCACCAACACCAATCCCACCACCCCCACCAATGTCTGGCGATTGTACTCCAACCATAATGCAGTGGTATTTACCCCTAGGGTCGCGACTCGCAAAAAGTAGCTTATATCCTTCCCCAGGAAGCAACCTACCTCTATACTAAAGTGGGTGGATAAAGTCACATATTTAGCCTTATTACGTAAGATATCCTGCCATCTGCGGCACTGTCAAGGTTAAACTGACTAACGTTTAAAATAGGTGAGACCGACTTCATTACTCGGCTACGTACCTGTCTAACACATTCTCACTTACCCATCAATGTCATTACCTAGTTTTATTGTATATAATACGTAAAAAGGTACTTAGTTCACTTGATCTCTTGGGTACAAAAAGGGAAATATCGTTATATTCTCTAGAATTATTCATGTATACTGTACAACTATTAGACATTTTTGCTTATACAAAACACTTATTATTTACCTATATAAATTTATAATAACTTAGTTCTTAATTATTTTAATTAAAATACTTAAATCTAATTATTTAATAATTGCAAAAAACTTAATAAATTAATTGATGTACAAAATTTCGAAATATTGTTGGTCTATTTATTTAAATGCGCACGACTAATAGCCCTTTCATGGATACTCTGACTGAGCCGGCGCAAACCGGTTTGTACCCCGACGGAGCGTCGGTGAACCTGTCGGTGAGAGCTCACGCACACATCGCTGGGCTATGTATGGGTGTATTCGCCGCGAGCCGTTTGTATGTAGCTTCCCCTCTGGTCGGTTTCTTTACTCATGTGGTGTAAGATGGTAGCGGGGTAAAGTTTAGTGTAGCGGTGTGATGTGTGCTGTGAAGCGGGGCGATAAGTAGTATAGAGTAACGAAAGACAAGCTATTATGAAACGAAAAGCGAGGTGTAGTGTAACGGAGCGATGTGTAGTGCGATAGGGGCGAGGTGTAGTGTAGCGAGAGGCGAACTGTAGTGTAGGGTAGCGAGAGATGAGGTGTGGTGAAATGTAGCAGGGGGGGGGTGCGGTGTAACACGGCGAGGTGTAGTGTTTCAGAGGAGGTGTGTTGTAACATGGCGAAGTGTACCAGGCAGGTGACGGGCGCGCAGGCGGGTGGAAAGGCGTAGAGCGGCGCCAGCATGAAGGCGCGCCACACTTCCACCACGCTCGCGTCGTGTGATGTGTAGTGTAGCGAGTGAGGTGTAGTGTAGTGTAGCGAGTGGCGAGGTGTAGTTAGTGTAGCATGGGTGAGGCCAAGTGTATCAGTGCGCGTACTTCTGGTCATGCGAGAGCGCGAGGCTGGTGACGGGCGCGCCGGCGGGCGGGAAGGCGTAGAGCGGCGCCAGCGTGAAGGCGCGCCACACCTCCACCACGCCCGCATCGCCGCCGCACACCAGGTACTCGCCGCAGCGCGACAGTACCAGACACTGTGCACACACACCCGATACAGTTTCATACAGAAACGATACGATACACATCGAACACAGTTATCTTATTGTTACATTACCGTTACAGCCTCAAAGTCCACTGCTGAACTTAGGCCTCCCTATAGATTGCCTCATAAATAGATATTTACCATAGTTGATGCGCTAGGCAGGCGGATTGACAACTGTAGTTTTTATAATTAATAGAATCAGGCGTTACTTTGCGGAAATCCATTATATAAAAACTTTTAGGAAAATTTACTTCGCAAATATCCGCGTTATAAAATAAAATGATGTGTCTTACCTAGTATGAAGAGCACCCTCCCTCAATTGCGTGCACTATCCCCGTCACCACTAGTCCCAGCACCGCTACTCCCAACACCACTACACTAGGCAAGACACACCACTGACGATAATACGACACGTGTTTTGCCTTTACACGAGGCATCCTCAGGTGATATAGACTCTACGGTGGCTAACCGCTAAGTGAGCGGCGAGCCAAAACAAGTGCCTTTTATACAGACCGATGACGCAACCTCTCTCTACTTAAGGAGCGAGCGACTGCGTCATGCGATAAAACATGCGACCAATCACCGCTGGACTTACGCAGCCGTTTGTAAAATTAAAAACAAACCGCCGCGCAACGCCCAGCCTTCAACCAAGCAACCAATCGCCGATCACCGTGAGGGTGACAAACGACCATATTGCGAGGCTCTCTATTATTAGAGAGCAGGCTTAAAGATATTTAAGAGAGGTGAGTTAGTAACATTTGTTTGTTCATTCAGCAATGCAACGGTATTATTATTACTTTTTAATATCTCTAACTGTTCCAGCACACACAGCCGCAGCCCTTTATTACACGTATGTAAGACTTTAAAGGAGTGGTCGTTGGCTAGGTTGTGTCCAGTGTCCAAAAGGTGTTTGGCAAAATGGGATTTATCGGGATTGCAATTCCTGTACGCGGCTAAATGCTCTTTATAACGTGTCTCGAAATTGCGACCCACGTAAACGGCGTGGCATTCGTCACAAACAAGTTTGTAAACACCTGACTTTTGACGAATATCCAACTTATCTTTATTATTACAGATATTTCTAAGAGAATTGTTTGTTTTGAACGCCACATGAACGCCGTTTTGTCGAAGAGTATTAGCTACTTTTTCAGATATGGGGCCTAAGTAGGCCAAACTGCTCACATATCAATGAACACTTTGAGGTTGAACCGCGTACAGAGAGTTGCGAACAACATGCTTTTGTTTCCTTTTAATTAAATTGTTAATGAGATTTTTTGAAAAACCGTTAGAGACCGCTATTTGATAAATTATATTAAGTTCTTTTAAATAATTTTCTTTTTTTTCCCGTAGAGTCTATATCACCTGAGGATGCCTCGTGTAGAGGCGAAACACGTGTCGTATTATCGTCAGTGGTGTGTCTTGCCTAGTGTAGTGGTGTTGGGAGTAGCGGTGCTGGGATTAGTGGTGACGGGGATAGTGCACGCAATTGAGGGAGGGTGCTCTTCATACTAGGTAAGACACATCATTTTATTTTATAACGCGGATATTTGCGAAGTAAATTTTCCTAAAAGTTTTTATATAACTGTAGTTTTTTTAAAGTTGTTATTAGGAACCCGCTGCTGTCCATCTCCTGGTCCACTGGTGAACATGGGCATCTCCCAATGTAGGATGATTTGCCTTAGTCGCACGCTTGGCACTTAACAGGTGAATTGACAATTGCAGTAGCAAAACTTTTAACGCTGCTTTCTGTCGCTGATTTAAGTATCTCGAATGAAATAGAATAGAATAAAGTAGAATAGAATAGAATATTTTTTATTCAATATAGATCACACCATGTGATTCACACGTATAATTTTTATTAAAGGTAATTTTTTAATTTTACTTTAACACTCATATTCCAATTCAGGTAAATACTACATATTAATGTGGTACCATTTCTTCTCAAAAGACTGCCATGACGTATGGTTTTTGTGTTTTATTGCAGATACATATATTCACAAACATACTATATGAACTTTTATGGAGAGGACCATTTCTTTTTTTCTATAATAGAGTGATGGCAACAAACGGCAATTAAGCAATTAATCCCGGGGTAGATATAAAAAAAAAACAAGAAAACGTATGTAGCAAAATGCATAATTTATATCAGAACCACTGTCTCCAAACGTATACATTCGCAGGAATAAAATTGTGCACCATTTCAATAATTTTCACGTGGCTATTAAAAATTAAAAGAGAAAGGCTTTATTTTAGTATCTATAATTGATGAACACTTCAATCAACTAATCAACTAACGCTAGATGTCGCAGTAATACCGCAATTATTTGAAAACGCACCATATTACATTCTTACTAATAGATATTATCATATTGACGGAATCATTGGCTAGATGTCACAATTATAATTCCACGCTATTATAGGCACAATGTTAATAAACATTACGTTGACTTTGCCTTACCTAATCTGCTACTGCTATGTTAATGATGTTAGTAATGTAGTTACTCTGCCTGGACGTGATGTGACTTATCGATATTCAGTTAATATTAAGAGCCGTCTTACATTTTGGCGTTTCGCAAATTTAGGTAGTTTACGCACCGAGCGGGCGGCGAGCTACGCGACCGATACTTTCTTTCATATCTATTCACTAGCTCGCACTATACTGTGAGTATGGCGATTAAACGAACTTGATCTTCCATAATACAAGTTTTCTTAGGATGGAGTTCAGTAGATGGAAAATTTTTTTAGTGTGTCATTTTAATGTTATCTTATTAATTTATTATTATATAATTATATAATTTATTATTATATACCATTTTGATATATTTTTTATTATTTATGAAATTTAGTGTCAAAATAAGTACATATAAATATGGACGGAGGACGCATGGACGCAGATCCAACCTCGACAAGCGCTCGCGCGATAGTGATCGCAGATGACCGGCGCAGTGAAATATATAGTACTTTTATTTAATTAATTATAATATAATAGTAACGGTTTAAAAAGTAAAAATAATAGTATAGTTTAAGCAAATGTTGATGATTATTTTGGTATAAATTTTACGTCTAAATGATGTAGAACTTCGGAAATATTGAGGCTTGTATCGAAGCTTTTTCGGTCGTTTTTTGAATTATGTTGATTTTTTTCCTAGTAATTATTAAAGTGGAGGATATTTAGGAGATAAAATTTTTTTTTGATGGTCGATATTCAATAGAATCTTCAAATTAGAGCTCCCAAATCATGTCTTCGAGAGTCATTGCCTAAACATGCATCGGGAGAATGATTATTACTAAATAAATAAATAAGTTATATAAAATTCGCTCTGAGCTTATAGTAGAGAAAACGAACTATTTTTACCATGTAATTGTTATTTCAAGCAACGAACGATAAACATATAATTTCAACGAGGAAACCTTGTAATTCTACGTTTTTTTTGTAATACGCCTCTTAAGGTATAGGAAAATATATGATGAAATGAGTAAAATAACAAAATGTATTTGAAATTGTCTTGATGTACTACGTATAACCCCGTAATTCATATAGCCGGCAAATAATTACTTGATGTAAATTTATTAACATTGAGCTAATTATCATTTTTGAAATGGAAACAAGGAGAATAATAATAATAATCATCATCATCATTACAGCCTTTCATAAGTACACTGCTGAACATAGGCCTCCCCCAAGGAATGCCACAAAGCACGGTTCTGAGCCACCTACATCCATCGACTTCCTGCATGTCTTACCAGGTCGTCACTCCATCTCATGGGGGGACGCCCTACACTTCGCCTACCGGTACGAGGCTGCCACTCAAGAACCATTCTTCCCAATCGGTTGTCGGTTCTTCGAGCTATATGGCCGGCCCACTGCCACTTCAGCTTACTAATCCGTTGGGCTAGCCCTCTCCATAGTTCGCTGAGCGACCTTGAGCTTCCTCATACGGCCAGCAGTGAAGGACCACGTCTCAGATCCGTAAGTCATCACTGGCAACACGCACTGGTTGTACAATTTCGTTTTAAGGTTTTGAGGTATGTCTGACGACATGTGTCGTAGTTTCCCGAACGCTGCCCAGCCGAGTTGAATCCGTCGATTGAACTCTCGGTCGAAGTTGGACTTACCTAGTCGGACTATTTGTCCCAGGTAAACATACTCGTCAACAACTTCTAGCTTAGTGCTCCCAACAACTACCGGCATAGGTGTGACATGGACATTAAACATGATCTTTGTTTTGTCCATGTTCATCCTAAGACCTATTCCTTGGGAGACACTATTGAGGAGCATGGTGCTCCAGCCATTCTGCCATAAGGACTATATCGTCGGCAAATCGAAGGTGAGTGATGTACTCACCATTGATGTTAATACCGTATCCTTTTCAGTCCAGAAGTTAGAAAACGTCTTCCAATGCAGCGGTGAAGAGTTTTGGGGATATAAAGTCACCCTCTGCCCACCTCTCTGCAATAGGATAGGTTTCGTACTCTAGTTCTGTACTCGAATAGCCACCGTAGCTCTACTGTACAAGCATTTCAGCACTTCGATATACCGACAGTTAACTTGGCACCGCTGAAGGGACTGCAGCACCGCCCAAATTTCGACGGAATCAAAGGCTTTCTCATAGTCCACGTACGCCAGGCATAGTGGCAAATTGTACTCCTCGGACTTCTTACAACTTGCCGAAGGGTATGTATGTGGTCTATGGTGCTAAAGCCCTTTCGGAAACCGGCTCGTTCGGGAGGTTGGAAGTCGTCAAGTCTGGGCGCGAGACGATTCGTAATGACTCTCGAAAACAGCACGTAGACGCGGCTCAGAAGGGAAATCGGTCTGTAGATCTTCAAGAGAGCGTTGTCACCTTCCTTGAAGAACAAGACCACCGCACTTCTGCTCCACGCCTCCGGTGTAATGCCACCATGGAGGACGGAATTAAAGAGTTTCTGAAGGACTTAAAGTACCGGTTTTCCACCCGCTTTCAGAAGCTCCGCTGTAATTGCATCCTCGCCTGGGGCCTTGCCGTTTTTAAGGTGCTGGAGAGCCATTCTAATCTCGCTCAGACTGACGTCCGGGATATCTTCGGAATAGTGTCGGATAAGACTCGCTCTTGGATCGTTACTCACACTTGCGTGTGGCTCCAACGATGACGTGTAAAGCTGCCCATAGAACCTCTCAATCTCACTCAAAATCTCAGGTGCCCCGGAAACGATGCTGCCACACTCGGTCTTCAGCTTCGACAGTTGGCTCTTTCTGGCAGACAGATCTCTGGCAAAGACTTTGGAGCCTTGGTTCCGCTCGATCGCTTCTTCAATACAAGCTGTATTGAAGTTGCGTAAGTCCCGCCGCATGCATTTGGAGATCTGTCTGTTCAGTTGCCTGTACGCTGTCAAATCTGTTGAAGAATGTAGCTTCATCTCCCGTCTAACAGCCATGAGATTGAGAGTGTGATCAGAGAGTTTTTGTGTTCTTCTGCGCAGGTCTTGAAGAACTTAGCTCCGACCGCAGTTTCCACGAGCTTGTCATTCATGTCGTCCACTTCATTGCAGTCTTCTAGGCACTGAAAACGGTTTTGTAACTCGAGCTGAAAGGTTTCGGGACTTTGGAGAGAGCACGAGGGGGACAGAGCGTTGACTTCATTAGACGAGACCTCTCTAACTTAATGTTTAGGTTCAGTATGCCTCTAACCATTCGGTGATCGCTACCAGTTTTCACCCTCACGATCACGGATACATCACTGAACAGTTGTCGTCTGGTCGTCATAATGAAGTCAATCTCATTTTTTGTGGAACCGTCGGAGCTCGACCAGGTCCACTTCCTGTGGGGCCGCTTCTGGAAGAAAGAGTTCATCATAAAGAGTCCCTCTTTCTCCATGAAGTCAGCCAGCTGCTGGCTCCTTGGGTTCTGTTGCCCTATTCCAAATTTCCCTACTTTCAGCTCACCGTTCTCTCTTGTGCCTAGTTTTGCATTGAAGGGAAGGAGAATAATAAAAACAATAATTTAAGCAATTGTTTATTATCCTTGAAATAATCTATTTGTTTAAAAAAAAATAATTTGAGACGATGATAGGATAGTAATGTAGATCGTGATATTAAGATGACTTTTATCTAAGCTTCTTCTCAAAAGCCATGACTTTTTTTATTATTATTTACTAACTTCTCTGGCTTAGCAACTCTAACTGAAATGTTCATTCATAGGGTATCACTCTATAATTTCGTATATTTTCATAGAAATCCAGTATTTGCATATTTTCATTAATATGTTAGTGAATAAACAGGACTGAGATAAAAATTTATCGATAACTTTAATATCAGCGTAGTCACAACACTATCGCAGCAATTTTTATTCAAAATGTACTAACAGATGAACCTTAGAATAACTTGGTTGAATATTACTTTTCATAAAGACAATTTGATATTTTGTCCATGTTTATTCACGTTTCTATGCAAAATAGAAAAAATACACGTGCCTTTTGGTACGAAACACCTCCATTCGAAATATTTTTCTTTTTGCTTTCGTTTATACACTCCAATATTGCACAAAACGGCATATTTTCACTTATATGTATATCACTTAAGTAGCGACATGTTAGCTCACGACAGTTTGAGCATGTGACTGACAGTCAATTAGGCTCTACTGTCCTTAATTCTGACACGCATGCCCACCCCCTTTGGGGGTTCCTTTTGTTTTTTATATTCAGTGGGATTAACAGTCCACAGTGGTAAAAGGTTACTGCAGCGCAAAGAAATCTGCAAGTCACTTCAAATAAATGCTAAAATATGTTGTCACCTCTGAGGATTATTTTTTTTTAGGAGAGGGGGCAAACAAGCATGCGGCTCACCTGATGGTAAGTGACTATCGCCGCCCATGAACAACTGCAACATCAGGGGAATTGCAGATGCGTTGCCGGCCTTTTAAAAAGGAGTATGCTCTTTTCTTGAAGGTCCCTAAGTCGTATCGGTCCGGAATAATCGCTATTTGTAATCGATTCCACAAGGAAGTAGTGCGAGGAAGAAAACTTCTTCAAAATCGCACAGTGGTGGAACGTCAATCATCCAGATGGTATGGATGGTATCGCGAGTTTTGTGGCGATGTGCGATGATAAAATTGAGCGGCTGGAATTAGTCCGAACAATTCCAGAGCACTCCCCGTGATAGATGCGATTAATATGGAATGTCTCGCAGCATTTACATTGTTTCTTTCTTTGGAAGTTTAAGTACTTGGAATTCAGTAGTGGATGTATTATTGCTTACAGGTGGAAATTGGGAAGAGGGTGATACCCAATCAGATAGACTCTTACGCAGAAAAGGCGTCCCACCAAGTAGTTAAATAAGATTTAACTACTTGGTAGGACGCCGTATTAATAAACGTTACTCAGCTCTAGTACACGCACTTGAGTACAATCTTGAGGTTATGATCTTATTAATAAACATATCTCAAGATGTGGTTTAGGTTTACGATATCAGCTGAGTGCCACACTGATTAATAAACGAAATTCGACTCTTAAGTGTGTGTACTTGAATGCAAGTCGCAAAACAGTATTCCTAAGTACAGCGTTTTGAGATACTGTTTTATGTGTTTATTAATTAGCAACGATCTTGAGATGCTGATATCGTAATGAGGGCGTATCAAATGATTACGCACTTGAGTTCGTCGTTGAGTAACGTTTATTAATACGGGCCTAAATCATTAATCTCTTTCTCTCAGTGTGTTCCGGCACTTACCTGGAAGTTGTCATTGTGCGTTTCGTGTCGGAGCCTGCGCCCGTTGAGTGTGAAGGCTGCGAGATGTCCCTTCGCGTATCCCACTACCAGGACTCCTTCCCGCGCTAAAGCGAGCTGCTGGGGTGAAGCGCCCGCCCGACTCGGGAGCGCCCGCAACAGTTCCCCGAACGTCGTGTGAATTAGCACTGGACCGTCTGCAGATTCACAACGTAAAGTCAATTTTTTTCATTCTACATTGGCAGTATTGAAAGTCGGAAAGTCCCATTACCTGGTAATTTAGAAGCTGTAAATTGAAGTACTATACATATAAGAAAGCGAGCTATGGAGGGTTCTTGTAATTGTATATTGCTTTAAAATATTAAATTCTATTCATTCACTCATTCATTCATTTCGTTAATTCATTCATTTGATTTCACTCATTCATTAATTTATAGATAAGTGACTTACTGAGCGAGGAGGAGACGACGAGGCCGAGCTCGGCGGACACGAGCACGGCGTTGAGCGGCGCGTCGTGGCCCGACAGCGTGGCGCGCGGCGACGGCGCCTCGCCCTCGCCCACCACGCCGCCGTGCCGCGCCGACCTGCCCACGCAATACACACCTTAGCACCGCCACATACGGCTCAGTCTTCACTGTCAGCTAGTGACACTCTGACGTCCTTATTGAATTCTGACGATTTTTTTTAACAGGATAAGGGTGACAAACGAACACACAGTCCACCTGATGGTAAGTGGTTGCTGCGTCCCATAGACATCTACATCTATCCTCGATAACAAATCAAAATGCAGATGCGTTGTCACCCATGAGCACTAAGATGGAATGCCTCATTTCCAGTAAAAAAGGACCCCGGTTCTCTACACTCCCCATACGAAACACAGCAGCGTTAAGCTGCTATTTTACGCTGGTATTCTGTGAGAGCGTGGTCCTTCCCTGGTCGAGCCAACCCATTCGTGGTACATATACATATATATACAACTATACTACTAATACAGATGCAGCATGGCTCTACCACGTAAAAAAAAATTGATTTATTTAGAACATCAAATCTAGGAATGCAAAAATAGGTCCTCTTATTTAAATTATTATTATATGAAAAAAAATGCGCAAAATTTCTTTAAGTAACAAATTGGATGGAGACAAACTACATAAATATTCTACTTTAATATGTAATTTTTAAACAAATTATGTACAAAATCTAGATATGCACAACGACTTTATGAATACGGAATACGATTTAAATTATAGTATAAGCGAGTGCGGCATTATCGATTTTATATGAGGATCTACCGGGAATATATACGAAATTAATATACACACAAACTATTTCAGCCATTCAGAATTGCAATATACTGCTCACAATGCAATGTAGTGCTTACGCCATTATTACTTTGACAAAAAGTTTGAGAATGTACATGGTATTAGTTTGCAGTGAATTTGAATTGAAATTGAATATTATCTGGACAATCTTTCATAGTATGAAGATTTTAAGTGCGTGTGCGTGTGAATTTATACAATTCTAAATCAAAACAATAATAATTAACATTAACAGTCAACATAGTGGTAATCTGTTTGAAAATTGTAATTAGCTTTAACTCTCACCAATGCCACAGCAAAACTGTGCAGTCTTCAGAGCCTGATGCGATGTAGCAGTCGGACGTGATGTTACATTCAGAGCGCGACACGCAAGTCACCACTCCGTAGTGGCCGAAGATGATTTGAACTATTTTAGCTGTCAAATACAATTTAAACGTTAACCTTCTGATCTAAATACAATATTCATGTATCTGGCACGAAGGACCAATTCCTTGAAAATCATAAATTGTTAAAATGCATACTATAATAGGTGTTTGTAATGTATATAGATATGAGAGTTGATATAATACTAAAGCTGATATGACTTTTCAATATTTCACTTTTTATCACTTTTATCTGGCTTGGAGGATCATGTTACAACTTCACCTCTATACCAACAGTAAAAAAATCAAAATACTATTGTTCGCGTCAAGCGCTAATGTCAAGAATAGACGCCAGAGGGCACTCTGCTCGGCGCGATACCGGTTTGAAGTTCGGCCGAGCGTGGCAAGAGCGCGCGGGTCGCGAGCGAAAAAGCAGTCGTCTGCCAGCTGTGCTAACGTCAGCACGCTGTCAATTTTTGTGCGGGAACCGCGGAATAGTTTGGGCGTCTAGTAAATATCCTGTCAAGGATTTATAACGCACATTCCTTGTTGGATAGCTTTTCCCGGGACTTATTGGGTCCGACTCAGAATCTGTATAAGTGCATTCGGCAATATTAGCTAGTGCGGCCTTTGATATTCTAGAATTAACTGTTGCTACGCGAAGCGGTAGTGACCTTTGATCCGGACACTCCCTGTTAATTTTGTGTGTTAAGCTTTATAACAAACGAGAGTTAGTGGCTTCTGTAAGTTAGTTAATAGTACGATAGAGTTAATGGACTGTCATCGTGACGAACGAAGAAAGTGACTGTGGACGGCGCCGCGGAAGATTGCCTCAATTCGGAGCGGTGCTGACGACAGGGCTGCTGCCGACGGCCAAGGTCTACTAAGGTCAATTACCATCAGTCACACCCAGATACACATCACAGCACCTTATTTCCCTTGCACTACACAACCACATGCGACCTGACCGACTCCGGAGGGACCAGTCGCCTTGGATATAGGTAAGTAAGCTCCGTCTAATATTCTCCCTGTTGAATGGCCGTACCACAGAACGCTCCCCCTTATTGTTTAGTGTAACTAGAGATTTTCCACTTGGCCTTAGGAGGCCCGACCTACGTCTGCTCGTCGAAACTCAGCTGAATGGGCCCCTGAGAATTTGACCTTTATGGGGGCAGCCGTAGGTCGTAACAACTATAGAATATAAACATTATTTCTACGTAAAGGAAATAAATTTTGTTTTATTTTGAATAGTTTACAAAATCAATATACAAATATCGACAAAGAAAAATAAGAGTGGGTATGTTAGGTACAGTATTTTTGACAATCTTTATAAACGGAAAATAAATTTTATTTTTAACAAATTATAAAATAAATTTCGAACCAGTTTCTGTTGAAAAGACTCTGAAGCTGTTGTCCCAGAATCCAGCTGCAATGAGGAAACGTGAATCTACTGTGGTCACAAAACAGTTGCTTCTAGCTTTGACACGCTGCGAGAAGTTGTCACCGAGCTGCCGCCGAGATAGCGCTCCAGCACCTCCATTCGCTATGAAAGAGATTAATTTTAATAATCATATTGATTAAATTTATTAAAAAACTTATTGGTAATTGACGCGTAAAAGTGAAGGTAATGAAAAAAGTTTCCTTTTGTTAAAAAAAATTATAAATTGAATTCAATTAAAATTTTGTTTGGTTTATTACGCATGTTGATATTATTATTAATAATATTTGAATATTTTTCAGAGTTCTTATTGACATGAGTACATGTTATCGTAGGGGTACTATAGGTGTAGGTTAAGACCTTATTTTTTTGGTTTATGGTAAAAGACCTTGTTATACACTATGCTCACATACGTGAGCATAGTCTCATTAACCGATTTCAAAAAAGAAGAAGGTTCTCAATTCGTCGGAATTTTTTTTAATGTATGTTCACTGATTACTCGAAGACGCCTCAACGATTTGGAAAATTATTTTTTTGTTTCAAAGGGTATATTTGCTAGGTATCATCGGTCAGGTCGAAATCCTGTGAGGTGGAAACCGGTCGAGCGGTTTTTAAAAAAATCAACAATAAATTATTTATATTGAAATCGCTTGTACACTAATTGAAGTCTTCACCACTTACCATCAGGTGGATTTGGGGTCAAGCACTGGTTTATGAGTAAAACAAAGTAGTATCAAACGAGTAGGTTTTGTTAAGGATTTAAGGTATTAAAATTATTTAGTGAATATTTTGATGGATATTTATATGTATGTGTGAGTATGTGGGTACTCACCCCAGACGGGGTCCATGAGCAGCGGGTGGTGCGGCGCGTGAGGGGCGTGCGGCGAGTGCGGCGAGTGCGGGGAGTGCGCGGCGTGCGGCGCGTGCGGCGCCAGGTCGGCGCGCGCGCCGCCGTGCGCGCAGCCGCCCGCCCAGCGGTGCGCCGCGAACGCGCGCGCCGCGCTCACCTGCACACGCACACGCACACACATACTTTATATCTACCTTCACCACAGATATTTTAAAAGATCTTATAACAGTTGTAAAACGAATGTATTTGTGCAGAGCAACGACGAGGGCCAACACACTGTATCAATATAATTCTGTTCGCTTAAATACGGTCGCTTTTTGTGTCACCCCGTCTAGGCATGTGCAGCATCTTGTCAAAGGTGCCGCCCCGACATCAAAGGTCGCTACGTGAGACGTACACCGGCAGGAGAATTTTGCATTTTAAAACTAAGCGCCGTAGTGAAAGATTCTTGGCTACCTAAATTGTGTTTATTATTTATATTCGTATTTTATTACAATAAACATAAGAATAAAATAGTATTCTATTTTATTCTAAAATAGAAAAACATTTATTTAACAAACACCATAAAGAATAATAAAAAAAATCCAAATAATAAGTGCGTCTCCGGCTGTACCAACACTATCTTAGCGAACAGACTATACAAGCGAATTAACGCACCATTTGCAGAATTATCAGTAGCAGCTAAATATTAGAAAATTGGCGGTATTTCACTCAAAAAGCACGAACCTAACACCATAGGTCTCACGCCTGATCTCTCTCAGGTCGTATCAGATTACCGTTCCATCGGACTATGAGATTTGGGAGAGAGTGCACCTGTGCCTGCGCATATACTCGAGCAATATAATCCTGTCCTGCGCACATGGCTAGTCTCCGTTGAGACTGATCGCCGTGTCCAAATTTCGATATACAGAAAAGCAATTAACAAATGTTCTTTATAGAATAAAGGTGACAAACGAGCAAACGGTCTACCTGATGGTAATAGGAAGCTGTGGCCCATAGACATCCTACATCTATCCTCAATTAAAAATCAAAATGCAGATATGTTGTCACCCCTAAGGACTAAGATGGAATGCCTCGTTTCCAGTAAAAAGGATCACCGATTCGCTACCCTCACCATACGATACACAGCAGCGTTAAGCTGCTATTTCATACTGGTATTATGTGACAACGTACTCCTTCCCTGGTCTAGCTGACCCATTCGTCGTACAACTATAATATGATATGTAAATACAGCATGGCTTTACCAAGTATATAAATACTACAAGTACGAAAAATCTACTACACTACAAAGACAAAAGACGCTAATGCACTCACTTTGTTTTATAAAACTGAATTGATAGTAAGTGGTCACTGCAATACATAGACACCTGGAGCCAACTTCAGACAAGGAAGGCGATAGATGCGTTGTCACTTCTGAAGACTTAGGTGGAATACTTAAGGGTGTAGGGAGCCAGTATGCTTATAAATCGCGGCACGTAAGTCTAGCACTAAACGAAACGTGGAAGAGACGACGCACGAATTGAATTGCACGAATGCGACTGGAGAGCCAATCAGCGCGACTTATGCGCAATAACGGTCACCTCTAGACTTTCATGTACTCATTTGCGATTCTCTATTTAACCGAACCATTTTTGATAAGATTGATCACTGGTGATGAAACATGGATCACCTACGACAAGAACGTGCGAAAAAGATCATGGTCAAAGGGTAGTCAAGCTCCACAGACTGTAGTGAAACCCGGATTAACACGCAATAAGGTGATGCTGTGTGTATGGTGAGATCGGAAGGACCACCGGGAGAAACCTCGGATCTCTACTGCCAATAAGTAATGAGACTCAAGCAAGAAAATTAGTAAAAACGGCCGGAATTGATCAACAGAAAAGGAGTGGTCTTTCATCATGATAACGCTAGGCAACACATATATTTGGCCACTCAGCAAAAATTCGGAGACCTTGGTTGGGAAGTGTTAATGCATCCACCATATAGTCCTGACATTGCACCCTCATATTTTCACCTGTTTTGGTCTCTTTAGAATTCTTTTCGGTAGTACTAGGTTAACATCATGAGAGGACTTTCAAAACTACTTGTCGCATTTATTTGAACAAAAATCCCAAGATTTCTATAACAACGGGATTATATCACTACTTACAAAATGGCAACAAGTTATCGAACAAAATGGCAGTTATATATTATAATCAAATTTAAATAAACTTTGAAAAAAAAAAACGTCTTGAATTTGAAGAAACTTTTTCCCGACCTATTAAAACTTAATATATATACATACAAAAGAAAGAGATAAACTTCTGTATTACTTTCAAAATGTCTAAATTTATTATCTAAATAAATAAATATCTTACCGTGACAGCGGCCGGCATAGCCAATTGGGGGTAGGTATTCGCTGAAACGTGGACGACAGCGGCATTTGAGGGTAGTTTGAGCCGCATACACACATCGTCTGGTGCTGCCGCAAACATAAGGGGAGCGAGATGCATGCTGGAAGCCCTTGGGGGATGGGGCTCACTCAACAACTGAGCGGGCGTTTGTCCAAAGCTTCGTATCTGGTCCTCCACGGCTGTTCGGATCACCGGGTCCGTGATATGGTCCAGCCGAACTCCACCCTCGTACGTTAGGTAGTAGAATACGTTCGTGGCACGCACGGCTTCGGGACCTAAGAGAGAGTAAATCTCAGATATAGTATAGTATGTATGGTGCCTTATTAATTTTAATAAACCGCGATAAATTTTAATAATTAAGTTCGCAATATTTATTCTATGATGACATCTTTTAGCGGGAACTCGACAGCTGACCCATTGCTGCTTCATTACTATTGTGGTGTTATTATTAGTTATTCCAATGGTTTGAATTAGATTTTGATACGTTAAAGTGGTGTTATTTTGTGTATTAATTTTTTTTTATAGAATTAGGGTGACACACGAGCACACAGTCCACCTGATGGTAAGTGGTTGGCTGTGGACCATAGACATCTGCATCTATTTTCGTATGCGAATTAAAATGCAGATGCGTTGTCAGCCGTAAGGACTAAGATAGATTGCCTCTTTTCCAGTAAAAAGGGTCTCCGGTTCTCTACACTCACCATACGAAACACAGCAGCTTTAAGCTGCCATTTTACGCTGGTATTCTGTGAGAGCGTGGTCCTTCCCCGGTCGAGCCGACCCATTCGTGCTACAACTATACTATTAATATAGCTGCAACATGGCTCTACCACGTAAAAATTGTGTATTAAATGTCTGCACATGTGAATTGTGAACTACTAGTGGAAACGATGAAACGAGTGTTTCGATGATGACGTGAACCTCAAGATAATGTGGCTGCTTACGCGTCTTTAGATACTGGCTCAAGCTGCCGTCAAAATCTCCCAAAAACTTAGCATTGTGTTCCCGGTCAAAGATAATATTATGACACATAAAAAAGACTACGTTATAATTTTTTTTTAGTATTTACAATATCCAGTTCGTGATAATACTCACCTCGCTGTTTGTATCCAAATATCAAGTCAATCCACTGATGTAGCTGACAGCTGACAAATTCAGACTCCAGTGCCATTCGGTTGATGCGTACGAACTCCTCGGCCGATGAAGCCCACGGCGGTAACAAAACGTCGCCCGATGGAGAGTCCGGGATGCCTAGCTTGTAGCCAGCACTGTTCACTAACATCTCCGGCAGGAAGAAAAGCTCCGGGATCAATTCCTAATAAAGCAGATGAAAAATTCTGAATTTCTTCTGATGCTTTTTATTTTATTCGCGAATATATTAAAATGGACATCTAAGTAACAAAAATAATGAGTATTACTCAAGTAATTGTATTAAAATTACTAATTATATAACATGCATTAGTTATCAGTTTTAATGATTGCAGTGAGAATACTAGGTCTTAATCATATAACTGTTGTATGGCCATCGGTTTTTTAAATACGTACAAAATTTCAGATTATTCAAATATCCAGAAGTGGATGAAAACTAAATAAGAAAATTCCATTACATTGATACATACGTAGGTACGTTTGTATAGTACTCACATACATAAATACATGTGAGGTCAAGTTGTTAAGTGTTATAAAAGAAATCGACGTGAATATAGATTTTGTTTTATTGGATAGAGTGACAAACGAGCATGCAATCTACCTGATGGTAAGTGGTTACTGTAGCCCATAGACATCTACATCTATCCCTTATTACGAATCAAAATGCAGATGCGTCGTCACCCGTGAGGACTAAGATGTAAGGGTCTCCGGTTCTCTACACTCACCATACGAAACACAGCAGTGTTAAGCTGCTATTTTACGCTGGTATTCTGTGAGAGCGTGGACCTTCCCGGTCGAGCCGACCTATTCGTGCTACAACTATACTATTAATATAGCTGCAGCATGGCTCTACCACGTGTATTTATATATGTATATAATATGTGAAATGATTTAATTTTTGACTTAGTTGAGTAACTTGGTCTTAGATACTTTATAAATATGGGATTGCCTCGTTGCTCTAGTGGTTTTAAGTGCGACTACCGATCACGAGGTCCTGGGTTCGAATCTCGGGTCGGGCCAGTTATTGTTTGTTCGTTTTTTGTTACCTCCATACTAGGATTTTTTCTCTATCGTGGGAGTTTACATACATTTGTCCAAATTTTAGATGGACAAACATCCGGAGTCCAGACCCGGAACAATTATTTGTGTTTTACATCCGTGCTTCGGAAAACACTTAAAACCATTGGTCCTGCGACTAATCTCTCTCTGGTTGTGTCGGATTGCTGTCCCATCGGACTATGAGAGAATAGAGAGAATAGTGAGTGCACCGTGTTTGCGCAAATACTCGTGTACTATAATCGTGTCCTGCACAGATGGTTAGTTTCCGCTGAGACTGGTCAACGTGACCCAAATTCGAAATAAAGGTCTTATAGTATTGGCATTTTTGAGCGGACAAAAGTACAATATGCCAGACTCCGTTTTTGGAATTGGCGAACTTCAAAGCTCCTGGAAACATTAATTTTTATGATTAAGCCGCACGTTACTCCAAACGTTCAACGATAGAGGAATACATCACTACTAAATCAAAGGCTTTTTTTTTTGTAAATTTAATTTATTGCTGTTGTTTTTCTTTCATATTTTTATATTTTTATAAAATTCTAAGCCACGTTTAAAATCTCTAGGTGCTAAGTAAGTTAGTTTAAAATCAATTACTAAATTCGTGAGAAAAGACTAGAAAAGTTCGTAGATTGTTGTATGTTTACACTTCAGTTTTTTATGTTTTTTGTATATTATTCGTAATTTAGGACCTTGTCTTCACTATATAGTCAATATTCACTAGTTTATTGTCACTTGTACAATTTTTTATCACTAAATTCACTTTGATTCTATTTTTAAATAACTTTTTGCCCGGACTATGTTGTTACCGCGTCTCAGTACCGCCCCCACCCCTCTCTTTTTCCTCTTTCAAAAACAATGGTCATGACAAATAGCATACAGAGAAGAATATCAGTGGACAATGAAACTTTGAAATATACAGAGAATTACATATACCTTGGAAAACAAATTGGCTTCAACAGAAAACAAAATGAACTAGAAGTAGAACGAAGAGTACAAAATACTTGGAACAAATACTGGTCCTTAAAAGAGATATTCAAAAGTAACATGCCAACAAATATCAAAACAAAAGTCATGATGTCATGCCTCCTACCTTGTCTAACCTACGCATGTCAAACTTGGAAATTTACATCCAAATTAAAAAGCAAAATCACTACTTGCCAACGCGGCATAGAACGAAGTATGCTCAACATTAAGAAGATGCAAAAAATCCGTCACACCAAAATTAGAGAAATCACCAAAGCAACGGATGCCCTAACCTACGCTAAAAAACTAAAATGGAAGTGGGCTGGACACGTAGCGAGGCTAAAGGACGAGAGATGGACCACCAGGGTAACAACGTGGAAGGGTCCAATCGGCAAACGTCTCAAAGGCAGACCTCACACGAGATGGGCAGACGATTTGATAAGAACAGCTGGTATCTGCTGGCCGCAAATAGCTCAAGATAGAGACACATGGAATTCTTTAGAGGAGGCCTTCACCTTCACTTGAGGAGGGGTTCATGCAAACAAACTTATATATTATTATCCAGATTTAAACATTTTTTTTTCTTTTTACTTTTTTCGTTAATCTATAAACTATGCATGTATCTCATTTTTAGCATGAAATAAAAGGCTTATTTATTTATTTATTTTATTTTACTAAATTCGACCAACATGGGTAAAGTTTTGGCGTGGTACTAGTCGCCTTTTACAACACCCGTGGGACTGGATGATGGATTTCTTGACGCCGCTTATAAAATGATCCAATATTATTTTTAGTAATAAATTAACTACGGACAAGTTTTTTATCTACCTTCACATCAGAGGTGTCTCTCTGGCAGTTCTTCCAGGAAGAGGCGATCGAGGAGAACAGCCTGTTGGGATGGTCGAACTTGCCGCCATGAAGCGCTAAGAACATCGTTGTCATCGGTTCCTGAAAGAGATTAGAATTTTTTGTGTAAATCGGTAAATATAAAAAATGTCCTTCAATAAGAACTACATGTAACCTAATTAAAAAAATCTATTCTATTCTATGGATTTCATCGTTTTCGTATCATTGAGATAGGCATAACAGGTACAAATAAAAATTTGCATGGCTCAGTTTTCACCACAGGCCCCGAGTCACCACAAATAGTGTAAAAGCAAATTTTTGGTTTTTGAGTCTGTTGGTGTTATAATTATTATCTCTCTAAGGTAGAATCTGGTACAAAAATTTAAAATTAATTCATGTGAAATGGGTTGGTTTTTGAGTCTACTTGCGGAGCCACACTCAGCGGTAGAAAAATAATTAATTTCCATATTCTTACCACATTGATTCCCCCTTTCAATACTTTAAAATTAAAAATTAATTCATGTGAAATGGGTTGGTTTTTGAGTCTACTTGCGGAGCCACACTCAGCGGTAGAAAAATAATTAATTTCCATATTCTTACCACATTGATACCCCCTTTTAATACTTAGGATTTTGTGTAACAGGAAAAAGATATGTTGCGATAAGGCTGACATATCCGTGCTGGATAAAAGCCTTTTTAAATAAAGATATTTAAAAAAATGATATCTCTCTTGTCTATGTTATTGCATCTTAGCCTTATTCCTATTTTTTCATTGTAATATTAATTAATTTACATAACTTAATACTATACTATATTTATAACTAAAATCATAAGGCTCAATTTACATTCCGCCGCAAGCCTGCTAAACCTGGCTGAATGGTTATTACCTGTAATCTATGGAGGTGGCCTAAATTCAACAGTGGACTTTGTAACTGTAATTGTAATTGTCGCCATTGACGAAATCGAACATTCTACGTATATGCAATCCTGGTAAATTAGTACTTTGTTTTATAACAATAATTATTACTCGTATTAACTACGCATTTAATAATTATAATCCTCAGGAGCAGTTTTTCGACCGCTGCCAATCTTGCCACGATAATTTAAACACATCTAGGTTCTAGATGTACGTTCCCAATTAAACTGTATTAAGACCGTAATCAATCATGTCTCCATAACGACTCCGGGCGCAATGAGAACCGACAAGAATATAAACAAATAAAATAAAATGCTAAAAAAGTAACAATCTATTTTCACTCACAGAGCTTTTAAGTTTTTTACCTTTTCAGATTCTTGTCGGATCGAATTAAATCAATTTTAGGGTTGCCACAAATTAGAATATATTGTTTTATCCTTATTTTATAATAAACTTAAATACTTTCAATCATCATACCATTTATGTAATCAAATTTGATGTATAATGGCAAAAATTAATTTTATAAAATATTATTGTCCTAATACAGATAAATTTTACAATAAAACTTTGAGACTTTGTGTTGCAATTTTTTACTTTTCATTCAGGTATTAAATCAATGTATTACTTCTTGTGGACATTTCATAAATACCCTGCAATTTTAGTGTACATTGCCACACATCGAACATCATTTCCACTAGCTTTATATTGCACTTATATAATATAAAAGTACACCAATAGCTAGAGGAGATGTAAATTAATACTTCTGACATAGTTATAAGATTATTTCTTTCGATCATTATTAAAAAAAAGTTAATTGAAAATAATTTCACTTGGACGTCAGTTGATCGGTATGGATGTGAAAAAGATATCTTTCGAAAAACTGAACTTATTTTGAAATATGGGATTAAGTATGATATTCAAGCGATTCAGTTTGAGTGTGATGCTCTTGTAGTAAATGAATTTAATTCTTTCGCTAGTGCATAATGTTTTCATATACATACATACAGAGATGGACGCCTTAGCTTGGTTTAGTGGAATATTACTTTTAATTCACACGGTTGGTAGGTGTGGGCAGATCGACGATTATAAGACAGTAAAAAAAAACATTCATAATAAAAGAGGAATTTAAATAAGGAATGGTAGTTCAGGGTTCGCAGTAAATACAGCATACTCGCATACATTACAGTATGCGAGTAATTCCAATTCAATATTCGCCGACACCAATGAAATTATTGATGGCAATTTTAAACGTCCGAGGAATGAAATATTTTGAGGACATGTGAAGTCAACTGCTACTACTGCACTTTAATGAGAACTAATCTTACGCTCACCAGATGTCGCTAGTTGGGACTGCGGTGATTTTATTTATCGCGGAAATGGTCAGACAGTGTCACTATCACTGAAAAGTTGCGTTTTAACAAAAGTTTTTCGGTTTCTAGTGTATGTATATGCCACAAAGTAATGCCTCAGTGCTGTGTTCTTTAATTTTTTACATACTTATTACCTTTTTAAATTCTTCTACTATTAGGAATATCTGTGTTTGAGTTATCCATTTAGAATCGAATTTTTGTATGAAATATATAATTAATATTTGAGAAAAACAGATTAATCTCTACACTTTTCTAACAAATTAACTTCTCCCGCCATCTGTCAAATATCCAAAGTGGCGCCACCCTGGTGGCAGAAAATGTCGGTAATGCCCTCATTAAGGAAACAATAAATTTTATTTATTTAACTTTCTATACACTTTAATGTATATTGGCGGACTTAATGCGTGAGGCATTATCTACCAGCCTATCTTAGAGTAGTGCAAAGATAAAATAGGCTTATGGTACATTAACATTTTTTTTTATTTATTTACTTTTTCCAATTTTTTTTTTAAATTTAATAACGTATTAGTGACAGCCCTATCTCTCGCGTTCAGTCGACCATCTGTCTGGCGACATCGCGTGCGCGTCTCTGATTGTTTTGACGTCTCACTTCCACGGAGCGCCGCTAATGTGTCCCTTAATTTACATTGATCTGCCACCCTCGTGTTCGCTTTGATGAGCTCCTTTATAACTTGCTACATTAACATTGTTTGCGTTTGTAACTGTTTGTGTTTGACCATTTCAATTGTTGAAATTCAGATTCGAAAAAATCGACATAATCTGTCATGTATGGGACAGCGAACATTTTAACTTGACAGAGATCTATATCTAACAGCAGTAATAGTCTAGATCTAGTAGTTAATAGTTTATAATTGGTAGAGCCATGCTGCAGCTGTAGGTATTAGTACTATAGTTGTAGCACGATGGGTCGACTCGACTCGAATATTACTCTATCAACCATAATCTAAATTAGAATGCAATGTACAATATTGCACTTATCCACAGTGATGTATTTACACTAAGGACAATAGGGGCTAGTGCCCAGGATGGCAAAATTTGGAGTGTGAGCAAAAAATGTTTTAACTTTCTGCTATGAAAAGCAACGAAGTGCTTTACTGTTCACAAACAAGACATAATTTTTTTATGACTTGTTTGTCAACTCATCAAAAATTCTTAAAAAAGACCTAAAACAATTTCAATTACTTTTCAAAGTTAAGTAAAAATTTTGTTTTTTCGAAAGATTTTTTATGGTAACATAGAATTGTTAGTAGAAAAATCTGATCGAAATACGTCTGACGACTTCAACTTCAACAATCACAGAGCAGCTCTATTTTATTGGTAAAAAATTAGAATCATATGGCAGGAGGAAGGAGGGAGAGTGGGGGAGACGGGAGAGGGGAGTGTCAGATACACATCGACACCACTTCAATGAAAAGGTAATACACCATTCTTAAGAAAAACTAATGAGAAAATCCGATAGAACGTGCTACAACCATAATATAGCTGCAGGGTGGCTCTACCACGTATAATATGTGTTGATTTCTGTGTATCTTTATGTGCTGATGAAGAAGAAGACAACAAAAATTGGTCATAATTAAGTACATAAAATTATAAAAAAAATTTTGGGCAAAAAATTTTTGGGCTACTTAACAGCAATAGGTTGCTCAAATTTTTCAAAAAAATATTTCTATTAATAAATTAAAAATAACACTAAAAAAAGACAAAAATAAATAAGCAATATTGGAACGTCGTTAAATATATATTTCACTTGTATTAAATCAACAACTAGGCATTGATAAAGCTAGTTTGTTTAGATACTGTGTCAACGTTGTTCTATACCTATTAGGTTAGGAAATGTCTGTTAAGCTTAACTAGGCTTAGTTATCAACTTATTATTGTTATAGTATTCCCGGCCAAGGTCACTAACAAGAAGCCTAGAAATGTTTAATCTGGTAAGTCTGGCTTAACTAGAATAAAAATGATTATTGAAATGTTAATACATATATCTCTTTGAGTTTTCTTTTCGCTCAAGTCTAAATACAAAATATCAAAAATACTGAAAGTTCTGAACATTTTTGAAAACATAATATACAACTAGCGATCCGGCCTGGCTTTGCCTTGGTGATAGCTTTGATTTAAGATAATCAAATACCAATAGGTATGTACTTTAAAAATATTTTATTGGTAATATTTCTTAAGTCACGTCTCCACCAAAGTTTTGTTGTCAACACAACATTTGCCAACAAAACTTGTTTCGATTTTCGGCGGCAACATCAAAGGAATACACTTTTTGCCAACTTTTGTTCCCTCGGTGGAGACGCTTGTTGACAGAAACATTTGTTGACAAAACGTGTTGGCAAATGTTGTGTTGACAACAAAACTTTGGTGGAGACGCGCCATTATGACGCGTTTGAGAAAAATTATGAGAGTGAATTTTTTACGATGCACGCGCACACCGACTCCTAAAAATGACACCATGAAGTTAATACGATGCGCGCGCACATCGAAACATAAAAGCGACAACTTCAGTTGGTAATTGTCTGTCAACTGTCAAGTTTTCGTGAGAACTGATAACTATATTCAAGGTAGTTATTGAAATATATTATGAATCTACAATAGAACGTGTTTTATTTTAGTTATTTTTGTTTTGTTACGCTAAAGAAGTGTAACTTCTTACGTGCGTACATAAGTACACACACACACACACACGTTTTTTTAATTCTCCAAGTTTTTGGAATAAAATATAGCCTAGATTACACCTGGCATTGCTCTTTATTTGTTCGTGAAGTTTCATTGCCATCGGTTCAGCCATTCCGAAGATTTTAGCCCGGACAGAAAAACCGACAAAATTTTTAAAAATGTTTATTCATGTCTTAATTCCATGCAAATAACCTCCTCAACTTAAATAAAAGGCAGTTATATGATATTATAAACAGACACTTCAAATTTATTTATATTTATAGATTATAGATAAATAAAACAAAAATATGAAAAGCATCGCATGTGCTTAGATTTTCATTTAAGACTCTAGTCCTTTGTGAATTTTATACTTGTAAACAAACATTTCACTTTTTCTCTCTAAATATACTTGATATTAAAGAGAAAGAAAGAAACATTTATTGCAGATTATGTTATGTCTTCATAAATTGATTTAATACATTATATTATGTCTGCTTATGTACCTCGACACTATAAGTGGGCAATAAAATTTTGAGTGGCGTTACTAAATAAAGATGAACGAAGAATGCTCAACATATTTATCATAAATCACAAACGGAGTGCATGCAAGGAATTAATGTTGCATCTAATTTAACAAATCATAAGCCTTAAGTAGTGGACTTAATGAGAGCGGAAGCGGTTGCGGGTAGTCATGTTTTATCTCTTCAATATAAGTTATTAAGAATAACTCATAAACTATTGGTCTGACCTTGATTCATATGGGACCACACGAGAAGTGTTAGTTTTCAAATAAAAAAAGAATCATCGAAATCGGTTCACCCAGTAAAAAGTTATGAGGTAACACATATAAACAAAAAAAAAAAACAATCAGTCGAATTGAGTACCGTCTCCTTTTTGGAAGTCGGCAGAAAAGGAGGAGGTTCTCAATTCGTCGGAATCCTTTTTTATGTATGTGGATTACTCGAAGACGCCTGAATCGATTTTAAAAATTATTTGTTTGTTTCAAAGGGTATACTTCCCAGGTGGTCCCATTTAAATTTTATCGAAATCGGTCGAGCGGTTTTTAAAAAATTAACAATAAATTTTTTATATTGAAGTTGCTTGGTACAAAAATTTTAATTTTACCACTTTTTTCTAACAGTTCCAGTGTTACCAGCTTATTTTGTTATATCCCACTTATGACGCTTTATTTCACAACGCAATATATTGTTGTTAACTGTATTTATTTACATTGTTTTTAAGCTGACCGTACACACAAGCCTTGGTATTTTTTTTAATAGTTTTGCAATCGCTTGAGTTAGGAAAAAAATTGTAGGATCAGACGTCATATAGGACGAATACGGAATAACTTAAATAAACATGAGCGTAAGTACTATTGGAGAGATCTTATTATTACAGACGATATAAAAACAAGGCGACGTACAAAGTCCACAACCGAATAAATTTAAACAATAGCATTGTTTAATATTATGCTAATTGTGTCAGTTTAAACAGATCCAATCAATTAAAGGTAAAACATAAAAGCAATTTTTTTGGGTGGCTTGGTTAACTATTCAATTTATCACGGCACAGATTCGGAAATGAAAATTTAACTAGTTATAATAAACTAAAAGTGTAATAAAAAGTATATGTACGTGGTAGAGCCATGCTGCAGCTATATTACTGGTATAGTTGTAACACGAATGGGTCGGCTCGACCGGGGTGGGACCGCGCTCTCACAGAATACCAGCGTAAAATAGCAGCTTAACACTGCTGTGTTTCGTATGGTGAGTGTAGAGAACCGAAGACCCTTTTTACTGGTAAAGAGGCATTCCATCTTAGTCCTCACGGGAGACAACGCATCTGCATTTTGATTCGTAAACGAGGATGTAGATGTCTATGGGCCACAGCAACCACTCACCATCAGGTAGACTGTGTGCTCGTTTGTCACCCTATTCTATAAAAAAAGTGAAAACTGATTTCAATTCCATTTAAAAACCCCGAAACCAATAGAGCTGATGATCTTCAAACTGCTATTTTACGCTGGTATTCTGTGAGAGCGTGGTCCTTCCCCGGTCTAGCCGACCCATTCGTGCTACAACTATACTACTAATATAGCTGCAGCATGGCTCTACCACGTGTACATTTTGACGGCTCCGTGGCGCAGTAGTTTGGCAATGAGTTCCAGCGCCGAGAGCCACGGGTTCGAATTCCACACGGAACAGGTATGAACTACAAATAATAGTTTAGGGTTTGGATGTTTGTACTTGTGCAATTTAAGTAAAAATTCTTTTTTTTTATAGGATCGGGTGACAAACGAGCACACAGTCCACCTGATGGTAAGTGGTTGCTGTGGCCCATAGACATCATTTATCCTCGTTTGCGAATCAAAGAGCAGATGCGTTGTCACCCGTGAGGACTAAGATGGAATGCCTCATTTCCAGTAAGAAGGGTCTCCGGTTGTCTACACTCACTATACGATACACAGCAGCGTTAAGCTGCTATTTTACGCTGGTATTCTGTGAGAGCGTGGTGCTTCCCCGGTCGAGCCGACCCATTCGTGCTACAACTATACTACTAATATAGCCGCAGCATGGCTCTACCACGTGTACATTTTGACGGCTCCTTGGCAATGAGTTCCGGCGCCGAGAGCCACGGGTTCGAATCCCACACGGAACAGGTATGAACTACAAACAATAGTTTAGGGTCTGGGTGTTTGTACTTGTGCAATTTATGTAAAAATCCTAATGTGGATGTAACGATTTAAAAAAAAAAGGATATTTAAACAACTTTTAAGCGACAGTAACCTAATAGCAAAACCCATGAGCTGCGATTTCAAAAGTCATAACATACATTATTTGTACGCACATATCACGGCAGTTACCCAGAGGGGTAAGCACAGACTAGGAGTTCCGGTTGGCACGACACTGACATATCTATCTCATTTCTTTCACACTTATCTACTCATACATGCTCTTCGGTTAAGAGTACTCTTGATTTACTTATAATTTTAAATTGTTTTAATTTAATTCAAAGATTGCTTTTGTTCGAAAACAGTATCGTAGCAATTGGTTGCCGCCTTGCGGGGTCACCATAGTCGAAGATACCCCCTCCCTCCTTCTTCCCATTTTCTAACTAAACTAAAACTATAAAATCGGTTAAATAATATGTTTTTTTATAGTCTTATTATTTAAAAAGGAAAAAAAAATTATGTATTTTTTTAAACTTATCATGTCTGAGAAATAAATATTTATTAAAAAAAAATATTTCGAAGACATGAAATTCACCAACACGCATATGGGCAGCGCGGTGGATATTTCCTTGCCCTAAAACCCTCTCAGAAATGAGAGGAGGCCTGTACTCAACGTTCCCTCATGATGTTTTCCTTCATCGTCGGGCACGTGCCGTGGTAGCTCAGGGGCTAAACGTTCTCTGTAAATTTAATAGTACGCGAGCAACCCGGGTTCAAACTCCGCCGGCACCAATGAAACTGTTAATTGCAATGTTAAGTGCTGATTTACCAATCAAGAGTATTCAGTAAGTACTAATTTTCAGATATATAGAAGCAATGTCATCGTTTCAAAGTTGGATCGGGAGCTGTTTTTTTCTTCCGAAATCTGCCATCCGGGACCATGGCGTCTGCTATGTTACTGTTAAGTGATGAATCAAAATTATATTTTACGTCTAGTCGGCCATTTATTATACAGTTAAAATAGATGAAAGAAAGACTTTTATATAATACTTACAATGCGGACAAGCCAGTTGAGAACAAACGCCCCGGTGGAGTAGTGGGTTCCATAGTGGAAGGGAGGAGTGGACTCGTGCTCCCACGTATTGTAACGTTCCTCGAAGTACGCGCGCCGACTTGGATTCAGTGCACCGATTGGCTGTGAACGAAGTAACAGTAAGTATTGACGGTGTAAGAATATCGAGTAGCCCATATCATCCCGTGGGTGTCTTAAGAGGCGTTTTTGTACGTGGTAGAGCCATGCTGCAGCTATATTAGTAGTATAATTGTAGCACGAATGGGTCGGCTCGACCGGGGAAGGATCACGCTCCCACAGAATACCAGCGTAAAATAGCAGCTTAATGCTGCTGTGTTTCGTATGGTGAGTGTTAAAAAACCGGAGACCCATTTTACTGGAAAAGAGGCATTCCATCTTAGTCCTCACGGGTGACAACGCATCTGCATTTTGATTCGCAAACGAAGATAGATGTAGATAGATGTGTATGGGCCACAGCAACCACTTATCATCAGGTGGTCTGTGTGCTCGTTTGTCACCCTCATTCTATAAAAAAGAGGCAAATAAATTAGGAGATGGGCATCAGTCTTCCTAATAATGACTAAAAATATAAAACTGCGGTTGACCACCCGTTTGACCACACGCTTAGCGTGGCAACTATGGCAAATATCCTATGAGGCAATCTATGGGGGAGGCCTATGTTCAGCAGTGGACTTTAATAGGCTGTATGGATGTATGTATAGAAGATAATCTACCAGGTGCACATGACCCACTGAGAGGTGAAATTTTCAAATCAACAGTAGTAAGTAACATTACAACTATGGCAAATATCCCCCCGAATGTGGTAATTAATCTATGTGTTCAGCAGTGGACTTTAATAGGCTGTAACGGTAACTTCAATTATTGCAGTTAAAAATGTTTCGTAGAGAGGAGTGCCTTAATCGTCAAGCTCAGCAGCTGGTATGGCGATTGCAGTAGTAGATACAAGTTTCCCACCTTCGACGCTTGGCGTAAACGAACGTACGTGAGGGTAATGTGGTAATCCGGTTAATATGGTCACTTTCTTATAACTGAAAAACTACAGCCTTCTTTGTATGGATGGCTCTGTGATAGGATACTTCTTCATCAGCCAATCAAATGATAAAGGATCAAAAGCGCGCTGCTTTATCGACGCCATTTTGACAGTTGACATTATCTATACAAATAAATAAAATTGAAGTGTCTGTTTGTAATGTCAAAATTACAGCTTTTTACTAAATGCATATGAAAGTATATACGGTACTAATAACAAAAATACAATTTTTAAAGTTTTTGTCTGTCTGTCTGTTTGTTCCGGCTACTCTCCGAAACGGCTGGACCGATTTTAACGGCATTTTCACTGGCAGATAGCTGATGTCACAAGGAGTAACTTAGGCTACTTTTATTTTAGAAAAATAATTAGGGTTCCACGCAAAAAATTAAAAACCCAAATAACACGCGGGCGAAATCGTGAGGAACAGCTTGTAGTAAAAATTTTAGTCGATTTTAGTATTGTGTAGTGTAGTTAGTTTCTTTAAGTTGATTTTTCGAAGTGTTCCTAATTATTTCCAAAGCTTGGCTGCTATTTCTTTCTTAACATAAGAGTTATATACAACTTTCTGTTTTTGTCTCTGTCCTCTTCATAGTTTTGGTTTTGTAGGGCGGCAAACTTTAAGTTGACCATATTACCTTCACGTACCTTAATCATACTGTCACCTATCGGTAGGTGTTTGAACTTCTTGGCACGTCCCATAGTCGCCTCTTACGCCACCCACGGGATAAAATGGGGTTATGGTGCAACCACACGACAAAAATGTTTATTAGGGTTATTTTTTTATGTAACTGACACTGTCCTAATTTGATCGAGTCAGATTTTGCTCCATTGATCGAGTTAGCATTAATTGCTGCATTGTAATTATAAGATAAAATACTTACCTTGGAAAGGTCTCTGTAGTTAGAAGGCTGACTGAGGTCTAGCTCTTCGCTCTCGTAGTTGGTGAGCACCCACGGGAACACCGGGTACTGGTTGAGGTCATTGTACGTGCGGCCTGCGGAAGAATGACACTAGGAATTATTGAAGTAAAAATTTCTTTAGGCACGTTGGGCACTTTTAGATTGGGGAAAAAGCACTGAAGTCACGTCTGACGACCAGGCAAACGTTGTTCTGCCCTTTTCGACGAACCTTCATATAAAAAATCCTTAAATTCGTAATAAAAAAATATTAACAGTCACTTATCAGGATAAAAACTATCCTATCTCTCAAGTTAGACTAAACTGCACAGAGTGTACAAATTTCATTGAAATCAGTTCAGTAGTTTAGGAGTTCATCGCGGACAAACAACGTGACACGTAATTTTTATATATAAAGATAACCATTCTTTTTTATGTAAAACAGCGAAATTTTATTATCATACTAGCTGGTACCCGGCGCGTTGAAGCCGCAGAAGAAATAATTGCGGAAATATCGTTTTAAATTTGAAAGAGTTATATTGTTTAATTACGAACGATAGTACATTCATTGAAGTTGGAGTGATGTATAACTTTCAAATAAATTTGTCGGTACGATACGTGCACTAGCTATTGTAAGTTAGTTGTAATATGCCTATAACCTTTTCACAAGTGCAAACAGTAAGTTGACAAAGTTTTACCGCAATCTAATGAACGGTACGGCAGCACATAAAATACGAACAAACAAACATTAACTTTTATATATTAGATTAATACGTTGTTAGAATTATTTGTATTTGTATAAATACCTACTTCTTAATAAGATATTTCTTAACAACCCAAAACTAATGTTTACAAGTTTGTAAAGATAAGAAGTTTTCACTTCTGACGTGCAGTCCTATGACTGCCAGTTTTTTTTTCTAGTCATGATAATATAATTACAGAGTATGCGGAGTTGGATTTTTAGTTCTCATAGTCAACGTTGCCATTATCTGTACACGGTATAGCCACGCTGCAGCTATATAATTGTTCTTGCACAAATGGGTCGGCACGATGAACTGAAGGGAACGAACGACACCCTCGCAGTATACCGTATGGTGAATGATGAGAACTAAGGACCCTTTTTACTGAAAACTAGGCCGAACAGACAATAGCCACAGCATCTGCTTACCATGAACTGTCACCCATAATTTGTCACCCTCATTCTATTAAAAAAAGCATCATAATGCAGCTGTGTTTCGTAGAGAGAGAGAGAGAGAGAGAGAGAGAGAGAACCATAGGCTCTTTTTACTGGTAACAAAGCATTCCATTTTAGTCATCACGAGTGACAACACATTTAATTTTTTTTTATAGGATAGGGTGACAAACGAGCACACAGTCCACCTGATGGTAAATGGTTGCTGTGGCCTATAGACATCTACATCTATCCTCGTTTGCGAATCAAAATGCAGATGCGTTGTCACCCGTGAGGACTAAGATGGAATGCCTCTTTTCCAGTAAAAAGGGTCTCCAGTTCTCTACACTTACCATACGAAACACAACAGTGTTAAGCTGCTATTTTACGCTGGTATTCTGTGAGAGCGTGGTCCTTCCCCGGTCGAGCCGACCCGTTCGTGCTACAACTATACCAGTAATATAACTGCAGCATGGCTCTACTACGTATAATACCACGTATAATTTTACTCCTATAAAAATACCAGGATAAAATAGCAGCTTAATGCAAAACTGGTTGTAATTGTCCATTGTTGCAGAGGTAATCCACTCTAATTCTTTTTAAATGTGTTATTTGTTAAATTTAATTTGTTGTGTTATGTGGTTTGTACGTCATAAATATTGCAAAGCGTAGAAGTTGATCTCTCCTGTAGTAAATATAAAAACAGTTATATGTATATATACTTAATGTATTTTGATTGTTATCTGTTTTGTTGTCCATATAATAAATAAATAAATAAGGTGGACTGCGATCTCATTTCTTACCCTGAGTTCGTAAGAGTCCGTCTGTAACTGAGTATGATATTGGCACTATTATGTTTATTACTACGCAGAAGCAGTTCTTTCAGCTTAGTACTTGGTACGCACCCTATCAGTTTCAAGACTCGAGTGATAACGCCTGACGGTCCATGTAACATGGTTTATTCCAACAATACCGTCACAGTTGAGTAATAACGTCGATAAGATGATTTAAAACAATAACCAACGCAACAAAACATATCAAACAAAAAGTGCGACGCAATAAAAATATTTTGTTAGATTTATTGTTTTATAGGTATTTTAAATAGTAGTTTTAAAAGATTATAAATTGTACATGACGTTTTCACGTGGTAGAGTCACGCTGCAGCTATATTATGGTTGTAGCGCTAATGCATCGTGATAGTACCACGCTCTTACAGAAAACCACCGTAAAATAGCAGCTTAATATGTGGTATATGTGGTCACCTTCGATTTGCCGACGATATAGTCCTTATGGCAGAATCGCTGGAGGACCTAAGCACTATGCTCAATGACCTCAATAGTGCTTCCCAACGGATAGGTCTTAAAATGAACATGGACAAAACAAAGATCATGTTTAATGTCCATGTCACACCTATGCCGGTAGTTGTTTTACCTGGGACAAATAGTCCGACTAGGTAAGTCCAACTTCGACCGAGAGGTCAATCGACGGATTCAACTCGGTTGGGCAGCGTTCGGGAAATTACAGCACATCTTCTCGTCAGGTATACCTCAAAACTTAAAAACAAGACTGTACAACCAGTACGTGTTGCCAGTGATGACATACGGAACTGAGACGTGGTCCTTCACTGCTGGCCGGATGAGGAAGCTCAAGGTCGCTCAGCGAGCTATGGAGAGGGCTATGCTCGGAATTTCTCTGCGTGATAAACTCAGAAATGAGGATATCCGCAGTACAACCAGAGTGACCGACATAACCCAACGGATTAGTAAGTTGAAGTGGCAATGGGCCGGCCATATAGTCCGAAGAACCGACAACCGATGGGGAAAAAAGGTTCTTGAGTGGCAGCCTCGTACCGGCAGGCGAAGTGTTGGGCGTCCCCCCACTAGATGGAGTGACGACCTGGTAAGATATGCAGGAAGTCGATGGATGCAGGTGGCTCAGGACCGTGCTTTGTGGCATTCCTTGGGGGATGCATGTTCAGCAGTGGACTTGTGCTGTAATGATCATGAATATATGGTATAGCCATGCTGCACCTATATTAGTAGTATAGCTGTAGCACGAATGGGTAGGCTCAACCGGGGAAGGACCACGCTCTCACAGAATACCAGCGTAAAATAGCAGCTTAACACTGCTGTGTTTCGTATGGTGAGTGTAGAGAACCGAAGACCCTTTTTACTGGAAAAGAGGCATTCCAGCTTAGCCCTCACGGGTGACAACGCATCTGCATTTTGATTTGCAAACGAAGATAGATGTAGATGTCTATGGGCCAAAACAACCACTTACCATCAGGTGGACTGTGTGCTCGTTTGTCACCCTATCCTATAAAAAAAGCTTAATACTTCCGTAATGATTCCGTATGGTGAGTGTAGAAAACCGGAGATCCTTTTTAGATGTCTATGGGCCACAAGCATTCACTTACCTTCAGGTGCACTGTGTGCTCGATTATCAGTCAGCCTTATTCTATATTTAAAAAGCCACGAGTGAACAAGCTATAGAACAGTAACATTACATTAATTCGTCCCGCCCAAAGTAAATCAATTCAAATCAAATCATTTATTTGCAATCCAAGTGTACATAATTCACACATAAAATATACTTAGAAGCTAAATAAATAAAAAAATAAAATACGTAAGTAGAGCGCAAACGCCCTCTTTTCTCCCGATTCTTGAAAGAATAGTAAATAAAATATGGAAGTAGCATATTTTGGATCATGAATCTGTTTTTTGTTTCATAAAAATACTACTAATGGTTTTAAACATTACTAATATTCGCTTTAACCTTTAATTGCACGCGGGCGAAGTCGTTGGGAACGTTTGTTTCAAATAAAAGTAGAAGCCTTATTTACTTGAATTTTCAAAAACTGCAATAACGGTATATCATTATTTATATATTTGAACTTAAGTTTAAAATTTGACTACTCTTTGAAAAATAACCCTGTATATAAATGTATAATACGCGGGAAGCAGTATTTACATCTTGCCGCTACAAAACATTTCGAAGACATGTGAAGTCCGCGAACACGTAATAAGGCAGGTCACTTCCCTGCCCTAATACTTTCTTAGAAACGAGATGAGTCCTGTGGGAGTTCTCTCATTTTCATCCAACTTCTAGGCGTAGGACGCATTAGGCTGTAATTTTTCTTTACTAAGAGGAAGGTATGTAGTGCTAGACACACACGAATAATGGAACTTACATTTTTTTTAATTCGATTTTTTTTCTAAACAAATTGTGTTTTTGCACAAATGTTAGTTCTGGCTATAACTCAAATCCGTGACTTAGTCGATATTCACTGTCGTTATCACTTAATTATTAAAAGGTTATTATTTAAAAATAGGATGTGTGTATATTGTATGTAGTAGATAAGACATTGCACTGTTTTATTATTTATTGTTTTAGTACATAATACCCTTGTTGTTGTATACAACAAAGTATTAATAAATTAATTAATAAATATCCAGGTATCTAGCCAATAACCCGTTTGATCGATGCCAGCAATTAGCGACACATGTATAATGAACAGTGAATTGAAAAAAGTGAACACGCCAACCATATTGTCGTTTATGAATAAGCGTGTTTATGTGTTGCGTCACGTAGACACGTTCGGATGTATTGTTGGATATTAGAGATGTGATAACACTGGCCAATAATAATAATAAAAAAAAAGTTTTTAATATTAAATGGCTTTTTCCACCAGCGACTAAAGTTTATTTTTAAAATATTAGTGACAAAAGAGATAACAGTCCACCTGTTGGTGCGTGTCTAAATGCAGTCTGTGGACACCTACAGGGTTATTTTTCAAAGAGTAGGCAAATTTTAAACTTAAGTTCAAATATATAAATAATGATATACCGTTATTGCAATTTTTGAAAGTATGAGTAAATATGATTTATGGTGGTGTAGCAAATAGCAATAACGTTTTTGCCCACCGATCGACCCTTACAAATGTGTGCGTGCGCAGTAAAATCAGTTGAAATAATGCATTACCACACATTTTGAAAAAATAAAAAGGACAGAATGTTTGAAAATTTTTTTAATAAATTTTTCTTCACCATTTGCCTATATTACTTATTCTGTACCTTCTCTGTAAATTTGGCCGGTTATTGCAAAATAACCCTGTATAACAACAAGCAACGAAGGCCGTATAAACCAAGCACTAAAAAGAAATAGTTCGCGGCCTGTATTTTTACTGTCTCTTTCCCTTCAAATCGTGAAAAAGCGCCGCTTAGTACCTACATAGCTGTTTTATTACCGACGATTGCATGCATAGTTAGATCGACCAAGAAAGAACCGTTTAATTGGGTCTACAGTCTAAGTGATACTAAGTGGATGCTAGGGCCCAGACACTTAAATCTTTGCTTGATTATGAATCAAAATACACACAGTACGTTACGTTGGCATCTCTGAGGACTAACATGTAATGATTCTTTACCGGTAACCTTTTTACCTTTTCATCTTCGGTACCTGTCACTATTTTTTTTATAGGAGAGAGGGAAAACGAGCAGTCACCTGATCGTAAGTGACTACCGCCGCCCATGAACAACTGCAACACCAGGGAAATCGCAGATGCGTTGCCGGCCTTTTAAAAGGAGTAGGCTCTTTTCTTGAAGGTCCCTAGTCGTATCGGTCCGGAAAAATCGCTGCTGGTAATCGATTCCACAAGGAGGTTGTGCGACGAAGAAAACATCTTCTAAATCGCACAGTGGTGGACCGCCAATCATCTTACGAAACACCACATAATGCTGCTATTTTATATCGGTATTCGTTGATAGTGGTTCTTCTTCAGTCGGATAGACCTATATACGCTGCAGTCATAATATAGTTGTATCGTATCTATGCCACGTAACCTATTGTTTTTAAAACCGTTCGTATCACTTAAGCCACAGAAACATTTAGATTGCTTCATTAATATTACCGTTGTAAAAAAGGCCGACCCGCCTGCCTTTGGCCGGTCATTGCCAGAGAGAGCCAAGCGAATAAGGTCCAAATGCGTACTGAAGGACCTATCAAATTATTTCTAATTCACTTGTGTAACTGGCCATGAAGAAAATGGTTTAAAATTGCCAATTTCTAAATTATTGCGTGAAGCGTCAATGGAGCTATAATTGGTGTATTGCGGAATTTCGACAGTAGTTTATATTTAAACTATTTACCGTTACCGCTACAGCCTATTAAAGTACACTACTGAAAATAGGCCTCCCTCATAAATTGCCTTATAGGTAGGATATTTGCCATAGTGCAACTGCTGTTTTTATTTTTAGTCGTTATTAGGAAGACGGTGTTGCCCATCTCCTGATTTGTTTTCCTCCGTCGTGTCTCACGACACATGTCACATGATATGGGGCAGTACATATTCTTACACCGCCATTACTTGATAAAGACTATCTAGATATGTATTAAAACAGCGGAGTGGAATATTATGGTAGAAAGTTAGAGCTAAGTTGCGTTGTTTATATTTATATTTCCTTTCAAAGAAGTATGGGTAACGAACGAACACACAATCCACCGGATGGTAAGTGAAGCTGTGGCCTGTAGACGTCTACATTCATGTAAAATAAATAAATGTAAAAGCATTGTCACCTCGGACGACTAACATACCTCGTTATATCTGAATACCTCGTTATTATAAAAAAAAAGGTCTCTGATTCTCTTCACTCACCATACGAAACACAGAGCATTATGTACGTTGTTATTTCAGGCTGGTTAAACCTTCACAATGTAATTCACGATGGGGAAGAAAGGTTCTAGAGTGGCAGCCTCGTACCGGTAGGCGAAGTGTAAGGCAACCCCCCACAATATGGAGTGACGACCTGGTAAGACATGCAGGAAGTCGATGGATGCAGGTGGCTCAGGACCGTGCTTTGTGGCAGTCCTTGGAGGGAGGCCTAAGTTCAGCAGTGGACTTGTGAAGGGCTGTAATGATGATGATGATGAAAATGAAAAATGAAAAATACTATGCCTAAGAGCATGTGGAGTAATCGATTTATTTTTTCGCTGAGCACTAGATACATTTATTCGCATACGCACATTTGAAATTGCTACCCAAAAAGTTTATTATGATGAGAGATAATTTATGGATGTGCGCGAAAAAGCCTTTTCGAGTAAGTTGATAATTTTTAATTTTTTTTCTGTATTGATTTTGCCTTATTTAATACTAGCTGTTCCCCGCGACTTCGTTCACGTGTTAGGGTTTTTATATTTTTGCGCGGAACCCTAATTCTTTTTCTAAAATGAAAGTAGCCTAAGTTACTCCTTATGAAATCAGCTATCTGCCAGTGAAAGTCCCGTCAAAATCGGTCCAGCCGTTTCGGAGATTACCCGGAACAAACAGACAGACAGACAGACAAAAATTTTAAAAAGTGTATTTTAGTTATAGGTACCGTATTTACTTTCATATGCATTTAGTAAAAAACTGTAATTTTGACATTACAAACAGACACTTCAATTTTATTTATTTGTAGAGATTTAAAGTAAAATTTGTAAAGTTACAGATTGTAACTTATTATACTGTTATCTAACAATAAATAGCTTAAAATTATGAACTTTAATGAACTAATTGTAGCATAATTATGACTAAATAGTTCGGAATGTAAGTAATAAATTTGTAAACATGAGTCTCCACAATAAAATACACGTGATATGCAACAATCGGCCTTTCCTCTTTGACCCTATCGATAAGGATAGTCTAAGTTACAAATGCAACGCGAGGGGTCACTTCATCGTTCGGTGCGTAAAGAAGTACTATTGTTGTGTTCACGTGACCATACTATTCCCATCTGGCAGACCCGCGACCATTTGTCAAGCAGTTGCCAACTTTCGCAGACGCCGTCAACAGTGCGAATTACGTTTCAAATAATAGTGCCAAGTAAAAATATTATTTGAAAGAGAAACCGAAAATTTACTTACAGTATTCGCAATAGAATGGTGCCATTGACATTAAAAAAAAGTTAGTGAACGTTCCGTTTCGCGCGCAAATTAAAGATAAATGTCCCTTGAAAGGAAAGTTACTGATTATTGTGTTGTGATATGACGAGACTGCGTATTATGGAGATGTTGAAAAGGTAGGAGATGCAGTTTGAAATGATTTAATCATATAATTATTAGTACAATGTTGTGTATTACTGGAATGTAAATATATTAATATAATGGTTTGGAAAATTCAAAAGTGCACGCCTCATGAGCGTTCCATTTAATTTCGACGAAAAAAAATATTCCTGACTTTTAAAATATACTATTTACCCGTTTTAAATTTAGCGCTCTATTATTTTAACAGGTAGTGTCACCTACAGGGAAAAAATTAATATTTTTAACAAATACTTATAAAATACTAATAAATCGATATAGGCTGTATGGTAAATTTGTCCTTTGTCTATCAAGGGGCTGAAAAAAATATAAGAGCGCCTTTAAATGTTTAATAGCAATAAAACTTATAAAAGTTGAAAATAATTTTATTAACAAACTACGCGTACTAGGCTATTGATAGGAAATAGGGAACCAGTTCATGTAATTCTGAAGCTAATAAGAAAAACCCGGTCTCAATACGTCAATTTTTTTTTTGGAAGCTATCGTGACCACATACAAAATCATCCGGACGTCCACGTGAAATTTTTTAAACACCGTTTTTTTCTAAGTAGCGATTTTGCAGAAAATATAAAATGGATTAATGAGAGTGTTTTCTTGATAGACGGCTACTCATATTATCGTATAAGTGCATTATTGTTGTGTCGAGAGTAAAGCAATAGCTAGTAACGCTTCGCGCGTTATGAGGCGTGCAATATACTCGTAGAAACAGAAAGAGAAAATTTTTATTCAATGTAGATTATAAATAACACTTATTGAAAGTGACTCTTATGTTTAATTACCTCTAGTTCGAAAAAAAACCTCTGTCCTGGGAAGAACCAGCAAGGAATCCAGCGGGACTTTATTTAAAAAAATCATCTTACAGTCATGTATGTTACACAATTAACAACATGAAACAAATTAGAAATTGCCTGTTATTATCATCCATAAATTGCTTAATATTATAAAAACCCTTTTTATATAAACTTAGTTTACTACTAGCTTGTGTCTGTTCCTAGTATTTACAGAATGAATATCACTTATTTTTATAAAACTCCTTTTATTTTTGTGTTTGTACATTACATTTTTATAAATGTATTGAGAGGCCAAAGTTAATATATATCAATTTCCTTAGCTTATTGTCAGAGCGACTCTTTAGGTTTTAAATCATAGATTGCTCTTACGGCCCTCTTCTGTAAAACAAATATAGTTTCAGTGTCAGCCGCGTGCCCCATAGCAAAATACAATACGACATTATACTATGGAAATAGCTAAAGTAAACAAGTTTAGCTGTTTCAACACTGGTAAGATTTTTAATCTTTGTTACAGCATATGCTGCAGAACTAAGTACGCTTGCTAATTTTGATATATGGGGGCTCCATTGAAGCTTTGCGTCTAGTGTTATTCCAAAAAAAATGGTGGTATACACAAGACTCACTTCCTCACCATTTAAAATTACATTAGTATTTAAATGTTTTGACATTTGGAGTCATGAATTTCGTACATTTCATTTTAGTGCCATTTAAATGCAAATATATATTTACGAGTCGTGGTAGTACAGGGTCTAAGCGCTCGCTGTAAATTTCACGGTAGGCGAGCAGCCCAGGTTCGATCCCCGCCGGCACTAATGAAATTGTTAACTGCAATTTTAAGTGCTGATTTACCACGTGCTCGGCGGTGAAGGGAAACATCGTGATGAAACCTCCATGTCTGACGAATAAAAATATTTTGAGAACATGTAAAGTAACATTGTAACATTATATATATAATAATTCTAATTTTAAAAATATGTCCAAGTCTGCATTTAGAAGACGTTTTTTTTACTGGTATCAAGTGTGACCATTTCTTATTAATGTTGAAAAGTGAATCTGATAATATGCGTGTAGAATGTATATTAGTATATTATATCAGTATTATCACATTGTGAATCGCTGATATATAAATATTTACTAGTTATAAAATAAAGAGGTTTTGAGTAATACTAAAGGTATTTTAGATTTATTATTGACAGGCGAGTTACAAACGAAGCAACAGTCCACTTCCTGGCAAGTGTTTAAAACAAAGAAGACTACAGTTGCGTAGTCACCTCTGAGGACTAAGATGGAATTACTTAAAGCCTTTAATTACACTATAGTCATAGTAATTTATTCCTTAGAACAATATTACATTGCATTGGAAATGTATTACATGGACAAAGACATTTACATGCAATTATCTTAAATATAATTTAAAAAGAAAAATTTTGTACAACCGACTTCAATATAAATTATTAAGAATAACTCAAAAACAATTGGTCAGACCTTGATCACATTTATATGGGACCACATGTGAAGCACCAGCTTTCAAATAAAAAAAAGAATCATCGAAATTGGTTCACCGAGTAAACAGTTATGAGGCAACACACATAAAAAAACACAGTCGAATTGAGTATACCGTCTCCTTTTTGAAGTCGGTAGAAAATTTTTATCGAATAAAATTTAAAACATGATTTTTTAAATTAATTAAATACTTTTCATGTAATAATAGATTATAAATTATACAGTACATAAACAATAAAAATTAACATTTATTAGGTTTATTTTTGTCATTTAGTTAATCGTCAACTTAGTAGTAGCTTATTTTTTAAAAATTAATAATGATTTTAATTTATTTTGAAATTTGCGGTGGCAATAAATAGTTTTAAATGAGGTAGGCAATGAATTAAATAGTGCAATGGCTTGATATCTAGTGCTGTGGCGTGCAACATTCAATGTGGATGTAATCGAAATTCTTAAATCTTTTCGACGGGTCATTTCTCTCTTTTTACTTTCTTCGTATGTTTCATATTTGTGAAAGTACTTTAACTACTGTCTCCTTATACCATTAGCCCGGAACACGACAGTGGCGACATAAATAGGTAAGATAGTGGTACCTACCCAGATCGTTTTTAAACGTGGTAGAGCCATTCTGCAGCTATATTAGTAGTATAGTAGTAGCACAAATGGGTCGGCTCGACCGGGGAAGGACCACGCTCTCACAGAATACCAGCGTAAAATAGCAGCTTAACACGGTTGTGTTTCGTTTGGTGAGTGCAGAGAAACGAAGAACCTTTTTACTGGAAACGAGGCATTCCATCTTAGTTCGGGGTGACAATGCATTTTGATACTCAAATGAGGATAAATGTAGATGTCTATGGGCCTCTGCATTCACTTATTATCAGGTGGTTTGTGTGCTCGTTTACCACCCTTATTCTATTAAAAACAGTGTCAGTGCCAGTGAGGTTAGTTTTGCATGATAAAATCCACCACGGATTTTTGCCATGCAACACTAATCCCCTCCAGACCGAATTTCGGTCACGGCGGCCATTTTCAACGGACTAGCCATCTGCGCAGGACAGGATTAAATTGCCTGCGCAAGGAATAGGTGTACTGTCTATTCCCTCACTCGCATAGATTCCGTTGGGACGGCATCCGACACGATCGGAGAGAAATCCGGCTCAAGATCTGACGGCCTTACATGCCTTACGAGGCACGGGGGTGAACTACTGCCAAATTCATGTCTTTTTTTTATAGGAGAGGGGCAAACGAGCATGCGGCTCACCTGATGGTAAGCGACTACCGTCGCCCATGAACTACTGCAACACCAGGGGAATTGCAGATGCGTTGCCGGCCTTTTAAAAAGGAGTAGGCTCTTTTCTTGAAGGTCCCTGAGTCGTATCGGTCCGAAAAAATCGCACGTGGTAATCAATTCCACAAGGAAGTTGTGCGAGGAAGAAAATTTCTTCTAAATCGCACAGTGCTGGACCGCCAATCATCCAGATGCGATGTGCGATGGTGAAATTGATCATCATCATCATCATCATTACAGCCTTTACACAAGTCCACTGCTGAACATAGGCCTCCCCTAAAGAAATTGATCGGCTGGAATTAATCCTAACAATTTCTGTCTACTGACAATTTCTTCACAGATAAATCTATTGACTGAATTTGGCCCGACCCGGGATTCGAAGCTGGGATCTCATGACCAGCAATCGCATCACGACCACTAGACCAATAGGGCGTTCAAATTGAACACTAATGATGTTAATAATGTGAGATCTACGTAAACAAAGCCGCGGGAAATGCTAGTATGTATATTAAATCAGCTTCTATAAAACAGTATAATCATAATTGAAGCGATTGTGCCGATAGTGTATGCCGTATCAGCATTTCCATCAATTTAACTCAATCTGATAATGTAATTGGATAATACAATAACTAAATTACTTACATGATAAAGATTATTAATGTTGATTAAAGTATAAATTAGTTGTCACAATTTGTTTTAGTTAAAGAAACAATCTTGTATATATCTATATTATTATAAAATATTTAAAAAAAATCCCACGGACGCAATTTATAATTTTTCTATTATTTTTTGTGTTTGGGTGTAGGTTTTTGCGACTAGGTGTGAACATTCGATAGAAATTCTACTGTTACAAAAAAAAGTTAAGAAGATTTCAAATACTCGATATTCGAAACAAAATAAGTACTTTACTGACTGATGATTACGGATCTGGACACTTGGTATCGGTTTTAATTTATATTATTTTAAACGAAATTGGCTAAATACTCGAACGCTGCTCAAATTTAAGACCTCGTTAAGTTTCGTGGTGTCGCAGTCACGCTGACTTAAAGTCTTAAAACTGAGCACATCATCTACTTTCTGAGAATATGTTTAAACGTTCAATCGATAAATAAGATGGTTTCCAACTGCTCGCATAAACCGTTCTTCTTCTGTTCTGGACCGATTTTAACGGGATTTTCACTGGCAGGATAGCTGATATTATAAGGACTCCATTAAGCATAGGCTACTTTTATTTTAGACAAATAATTAGGTTTCCGTGCAAAAAAACATCCTAAATTACACGCGGGCGATGTCGCGTAGAACAGCTAGTTTTAAATTAAAAAAAAAGAATCATCGAAATTGGTTCACCTAGAAAAACGTTAGGAGGTAAAACATAAAAATACCATATAGCCGAATT